CAGGAACCAATTAGTTCTTAAGAAAAGTTTAGATTAATGATATTTCTTCCAAACTAATATGTAGATAGGTGTATGGGAGGCGAGATAACACATAGATCATAATTATAAGTTAAAGTTTGCAAACCTGTTGGATGCCCCATTAAATAGCTTTTCTGTCTCTAAATGGTACACCTAAAATTTCATGTTTATATGAAGGCAAAAATTTTCCTTTTCAAATTAGTGTATTTGCAATTATATTGTATTTGCTCTAGTTGAGTTTGCTCTACTTACCTAAAGTTTTTGTAAAACTGCTAGAAACTACAAATCATGTCCACATCCATGTACTAAGAGACAAAACACATAAGTAATATTAGAAGATATCTTTCCATGTTTACTAACTCACTAAGCTTAAATCAGCACTTTGATTTCCATTATGTGCAATCATGGGCTGGCATCCTAACAGTTGAATATAGTTGCTGAAAGCTTTATTTCTATTAGATAGAGAAATATTTAGAATGACAGTGGCATGATAACATGCAGTTCTGAATATCTGAGTTACTTAATCTAAAGAAGTAAGTACAATGCTTTCTGCAAATTTAAAAAGCAGGCTGGAAATATCTAGACTCAAATGTCCTCATAATAAGGTGGTGATGTGATCATTTCAGCCTACTACGCTTTGACAGAGGAGAAAAATTGGGTTGGATTATTGTAGGAAAAATAAGGGTCATGTTGTAAAATAGTGCCCAGAGTGGAGTAATACAGATAATCATTTATGAAAAGATAATTTAACATGGTACATCAGCGCTTGGCACATCAACTGCTCGTTTTGTCCTGTTAAGTGGTAAAGAGAATGTATTCCATTTTCACAATTGATCAAAAATCAAGAACACTAAGGGAAGTGATATAGCAATTGTCACCATTTGGCAAGACAACACATATACGCCAAGTGGTTATATACACACTGTGCTAAGTTATTACTAGGTAAAATGTTGTCTCTGTTCCTCCTCGGTTAATTTTAAAGATGAGAAACATGTTCAAATTTCCACTTTCTTATGAATCATAGCAAATAGCCATGGAAAAGTCAATATTCTCTACTACATAGGATTATTCCTATAAGAATATTAAGAAATAACCATATGTATATTCTGAGTTCCTTGGAAGAATATAGGGTCTTTCAAGAAAAAAAGAGGTGAGAATCATGACAAATACATCAAAATAACAAAATAGATGTGAATACACCAGCAGAGTTAGAAGGATCAGCATTTAGAAATACCTAGACTTATATCTTTTTTGGTCCTAGCAACTCCAATAACTTGCTTTTAACTGTGTCTGCTCTTGGGAGAGAAAATTAACAAAGAGTTCTGATATGAAACTCGCTTCATAATACTACAATGGGAGAGGCCAAGTATGATTAAAAGATAAAGCAATCAGTTATAACACCATATCCCTTTTCCCACTTTCCTTCTAAATCTCTTGTAGAGATTCAATAGCATCTTACCAGTTTGTTGAAGATGTGGAATTCAGTCAAATCTATAGGGCACTTAAACCCTCCTATTGTCTACCAGCTTACTCATGGCTGGCACATTAAAATTAATTATCTAGTCATCTTTTAAACGTGTAATTATGGGATAACAGCAGTCATTGGAGAAAATCAGTTTGCCCAAAAAACTATCCTTCATATTGGATATATACTGTATAAGCTATTGTGACTTCTTAAAAACAAATTGTTTTATGATGAAGGATGCTCTAGCCCACGAAGTCATGTGCCTTTGTTTTTAAAATATATTTACAGATCCTCATTGTTTCTATCCGGCCCATTGTAATATGGTGATTCTAAAATTTTTGCACCAGCTGATTTCTGTACCTTAAAACCCTCCATCTTTTGATCTTAGCATTTCTACTCTCCTGCTACTCCAGGATTTAGTATTTCTCATTACTGTTCTTCAGATTATTTTACTTCTAATCATTGCCATTTTAAGTGAATGGGAAATCTCTTCCTTCCTAATTTGTAGAAAATTCAGAAAAAAGCATTAAAAATTGATCACTGTTCAATAATTCATTGTTCCTCAAAAGTGAAATCCATCACCTAAATTCAAAGGCTTGCTCTTCTCTGGTAACAGCAGTGATGGGTCTAGAGAAGCTGCAGGCCAAATTTACTAACACTGGATGACAAATTATCAGTTTTCCTCCAGCTTCTACATTGTAGCAGTGCTATTCAGAAAGATTCTTCTAGGAATGATCGGAAATTGTGCATTTCCCAGCTGTTCCATTGGTCCTTAAAGATTTCTGTGAAGTTCATAGACACTACAATCCCAAGATGAGTTTTTAAACTAGGCTGAAAGTATTTGATTAATCTACGTGATTAATTGATTTAAGCAATTTTGTGAAGTCGCATGTTATTTTAGTTTTTCTGTTAATTACACAATTTTTAACACATGTGAAAACCTAGCTTCTTTATGCCATACTCATTATTTGAGTGCTCCTGTGTGTGTGTGCGTGCACATGTGTACATCCACGTGTGAGTATAAATAATCACATTTATTATTGCATACAGTATCTACTCACCTCCAGGAAAAATTGCTAAGAGAATATCTCCCTTCCCTTCTCTTCTCTTTCCTTAGAATTGGGTATGTCCAGTTTAAGGGAAAAAAGGACTAGAAGTGACATGGTAGCAGTGTTCCAATATTTAAGGGGCAGCCACAAAGAAGAGTGGGTCAACCCATTCTCCAAACCATTTGAAGGTAGAACAAGAAGCAATGAATCAAAATTAACCAAGGAAAGAAGCAACCTATTACTAAGGAGAAATTTCCTGACTGTTAGAACAATTAATCAGTGGAACAACTTGCCTTCAGAAGTTTTGGATGCTCCAACAATGGAAGATTTTAAGAAGAGATTGGCCAATAATTCGTCTGAAATGGTATAGGTTTCCTGAAATGGTATAGGGGATTGGACTAGAAGATCTCCAAGGTCGCTTCCATCTGTGCTATTCTGTTAGTCTGTTATTCCTTCATTTCCCTTCCATTCCTATCCCAGGATTTTATGACTGTTAGAATACAGATTTTCGTACTTGGCACCAAAATGAAATGAACAAAAATCATTTTCAAATAAACAGTCCAGAGTTTGATTTTCCCTGCTAATTTTTTTATATACAAGTTGTCTTCTTTGTTTTGAATATTTAACACTGCACATACATAATTTTGGACTACTTGTTTCTGAGATCTTTCCAGGCTTGTTCTTGATTCATAAAACTGAAGACGGCCAAAATGAAATTGATAAAAGACTAATATCCCATCAATGAGTGGTAGTTCCCCTCCACTTAGAGTGTTTGGTTAGATGCATGCATATCCAGGTAAAGAAATCAATTTCTTGCAGAACTAAAGGAGTCACCTTTAAATTCTGGATACAATTTCTGTGTTTAATTTTAATTTTAAAAAACCCTGTCCTTCCATTTTGATTACTCCAGTTATTGGTGGTTTTGGGGCTCCAACAATTGAAATAAATCATAAATATACTATATTGCCTTGATATATACAGTGGGTAACTTTTTAAATTATATTATTTCTGAATGTATTATCATATTCAATTACATTACTGAATATTTCTGAAATAAATCTAAAAAATGTCATCAAGTAGAAGTTTTTCCCTTTTTACAATGTTTGGTTTTGTTTACATAGTAGCCCAACTATTTGTAATGTTTTCCAAACACTTAGATTTTACATTGTCCATATTATATTATCTATATCTGTTCATAACATCTTGCACATTAGTTGTATGTTTAGATAAAGGCACAGCCAATTTGTAATACACTCATTTCATTTGCTTGAATCTATTTGCAGAAACTAAATGTTCCATACTATATAAAGATTATTTTTGGTTAATATTCTCGTATTCTAGCTATAATATCAATAATAATAATAGTATGTATATGTTTGTGTGTCTTTGTTTTATGTGTGCATGTAAGAATATCATATGATTTGAATGAAAATGTACTGCATTTTCATACCCAACAATTAATTCTATTCAGAGAACTTTGCCATCAATTTCCCCTTTGTGATATTTTACTAGGACAAAGAAAGGCTGGGCGGGGGAGCAAAAACAACAAAAAGTGGCAATCACATGAACCAGATGTATCTTCCTATAATTTGAGCAAATATCCTTGAGTATTACTTTGCAATATAAGCTTTTCTGTGGGGAAAGCGTTTCATGCCAGATAATCATTGCTTTGTGGCTGTATCTGCAGATAGACATGTGTGGGTGTGAAAACAAGAGAAGATGGTTACTGACCAGTCTCCATTTGTGGTTAGGCGCTGCTATTTTAAGATGTTTTATAAAGTTCTATTTTTGCAGTGTTAAAATATTATGATAGATGGAGGTTTGCCTCCATGAATTGCACTAAAGGGGGGGGGAATCCATTTCTTAGGAAAAAGTGTGACTGTAAAAATACAACCCTTTTACTTCCTCTCTTTCAATATGTATTCTAAGCCTCTGTTAGTCTAAAGGATAATTCTGTCTGCAGTCACAGTCCTTGGTAAGCTGCCAAGCACAATAGGGCATTAATTAACATGTGCCAGGTATTCATCAACATGCACTGTGGTGGAGAGCCATTGCAGCTGCCCCCTCCTCCCTACATATCTTTTCCTTTGTCCATGTAATTCATGAAAGATCTTCTTCAGTATGTAAATCACTTTTTGCAAAACACCCCACAATATAATTCCTTTTTATTTTTTATTTATTGTCAGGTTTCTTCAACATCCAGAAAAAATACTGACTCTTTCTGTGGTGTTCTAAACGGGATTTGAAAAAAGAAAGAACATTTCAAATGTATTTTAAATACTTGTGAGAGACGCCAAGTCCCACCCATTCATACTCCAACAGTACAAATGTGTTTATTTGCTGTTACTTGGCTAGATCAATAAATCATTCAATGAGCTATAGGTTTAAGGAGGGGCAATCTGTTTTATCTTGTTAAATGTTGTGCCATGGGGAATTGTGGAATTATTCTTCTCATTAGCTCAAGGTGAAAGTAAACTGACCTGCTAACTTAGGGAAAATGCAGATGAACACAATAGCAGCCTTACTGTATCAATAGCTCACCCATGACCGAGAAAATAAATCAAAGAAGTAAATTAAATTTCAATTAGTTGTTAGATTGACCTCATTTCCTTTTATTGCCAAGGATTACCCGACTTCCGTCTATCTCCTGAGCGGCTATTAATGTTGTTTCAATAACGTATCATCTGCATTTAACTGAAATACATAAGGCTGTTGACTAAACTGTACCATTACTTGATTGTTTTATTTTATTATTATTTAAATCAACTCCACATTTCTCATTTTAGAAATTCATTTCAATGAGAGAATATACTGCAGCGGATGTTGGTTAACCTGTCATATGTGGACAAAGCATTGCCCCAGATTTGAGTTGATAATACCCAGAATATCTTGCCTGAGATAAAGGTATGGGGTGTGTTATCATCAGGTCAGCTTCTTTGGATTTCTTGAAATCCCCAGAAATCTTTTTTCATTATTAAATTGTGAACTTCACACGGAAGCAGTGCAGGTGTCCCTCATTCTATTCTCAAAGGGGCAAACTAAGAATAGCACATAACCCTGAAAATATTGGTAAAAGTTTGGAATTCTTCTTTGCATCCATCAGATCAGTTGACACTTCACCCACAAATCTATTAACACAAAATAATTGTATATGAGACAGTCAAAACTAATACAAAGCAACTCATTATTTGAGTTGGAAGATGGAACAAAATTACTATGTGTTTTATAATTCACTGTCTTGCCTTCAGCTTGCTGCAAACCTATGATCCAGTGTGTCACCATCATAAGCTTTATTTGGTCTTCTTTGTGTACACATACCCATGCCAATCAAACTGGGAAAAGCACAACCTCCTCAGTATAGACTTTGAATGGTGCTCCCCAAAATTAAATTAATTCAAGAAATTATTATGAATACTTTTTATGCTTTTACCAATTTACTTCTTGTTTTAGTAAAAAAAAATTGATTCAGCTGCAATTTTTGGAAGAGCTTTAGAAACAACTCTTAATGCTTTTTGGGTCTGAATGAAGAATGACACCTCAGATTTCAAACATTTTTGATAGAGAAATGATATAATAATGGGGTTTTTTTTAAATAAAATGTGCTATTTGTACATTGCCAATAAAAATTGTGTTTAGGAATTCTTCCTTAAAATTAAAAAAAAAGTGGCAATATTTGAAATTCCAATTTTTTTTAAAACACTGTTTTAATGCTGTTTTATTACCCTCTAAGGAGGCTATATTATCTCATATGATTAATCTAAAATAGAACATTTTATCATAAAATGATAACAAAAGTAATGTCAAAGCTTACCCTGAAGCCAAAAAATTATTGAAGGGAAAAACATTAACATCTTTGCTAATGACATAAGAAGATGCAAATTATTAGCCATAAACATACTTTCTTAAACATTATTTCAGTCAATAATATGGGGCTGTAATCGTACACACAAAGATTTCTGGAAACATTGACATAGATATGAGCAAATAAGATAGTAGGTACTGCTGATTTGCTTTTTCTATAAGTACAGTAACTAAGCAAGCTGCAAAAGTTTTTTCATTATGATGTGCACACTTGTAATTCAGGGTTGGTGCCTTTTAATAAGTCAAAGTCAAAAGCTTTGTTGGTTAGGGTTACAATCTCAACTTATATTTCATGATAAGCAAACCATAGATTGACTTCCATAGTTTGTTTTGTTATTTGCAATGGAGATAAATTATTAAGCAGGATGTAATACAAAGTTTTATATCAGTATATCTGAAGCCTTGAAAATTCTGGCTTACTATGAGGCATAAATGGTTTCCCTTTATTGGACTGAGGCTGGTGAGTTTAAATCAGCCTTCTTAATTGTGTTGTCCTCTAGAATGAATTGGACTGTGACTCTCATAATTCCTAACCAACATCAACAGAGACTGCTCAAAGATTTTTTTCAAACTCTCAAGCAATACAATTAAAGAATGGCAATGCAACTTATGAATAATTGTGACTGTGACTGAATTTTCTTAACCCAACTGTTTGCTGTAATATCAATAAGCTTCACTAATTTTCCATGATGTCAATGTCCTTCAGTAAACTTTTTAGGAAGTAAATTCAAAGCATACAAAAAAGCTAACAAATATTTTGCCAAAGTGGCACACTGTGCTATATTTATTACAAGAAGATGGTGTACTGTTGACCCCCATTTTCTGCCACAGTTTATTTCAGGTTTTGCTGCTACAAAGTCAGTGTGTGCTTTCATTTTTATGCACAGCAATATATGGAACATAATGCCAGATTCTTTTGTTTTCACTCTGAATAGCAAAGATAACCGTGCAACGCTACAGCAGCAATGCTTATTTAAGGATATAAGTTTCCTTTGGGATGGGAGAATGGAATTCATGGTGATTTCTAGCTTCAGTATGTAAATATAGAAAATCAAAATCAATCTTAATCATGCAGTCTATGAATCTAAATTTAAGCATACCTTCCTGTTTTTCTTTATATGTAGAGGGACATTTTTGAGAAAGCAACCAATACTCTTGCTTAAATTGATTCTGGATCATGCTGTTGATGATCTGGAGCATCTGAGGAGAGGAAAACTTAAATTCCCTACATAAAAATGGCAGTTTTCTTTCCCACATATTCTTTCTGTAAAAAAAATGGTTATCATCCCTACACAGGAATTCTGAATGTGAGGTTACAGCTGTTTTGTTCTCAGCAATTCTATACAGAAGAAAAGAGGGCAGGCATTAATCTCCCCCTATCTACCCCATCCTCCTTCAGCAATCCTGATACCAGTAGTTTCCTTACTGTTTATCAATAAGGGGCCCAGTACCAATCTGATAACTTATCACCTAGGTCCTAGGAGGAAGAAAAAAATTAAGCATAGCCTCCTAGAAGTAATAATTAGAGTTGCTGAGGAAGAGATCCAAACTTTTTTTCTCAGCAGTCTTGGGAGTCTGTATGCTCTGCCTTTTCCCCATATTCTGTTCCCTACTATATATAGATATACAACTCTGTTCCCTACTATATATAGATATACAACTATATATAGATATACAACTCAAGAAGCTTGGGAAATTTTGAAAAATGAGATAATAAAAGCCCAGTCTAGCACAAAACCAACAAAGAGGAAAAATAACAGCTCTCAAAAGAAATCAGCATGGCTGCATAAAGAACTCTCTGACAAACTGAAAGATAAAAAGGATAAGTATAGAAAGTGGAAAGAGGGGCACATAACTAAATCAGAATATCAACAAATAGCCCGAGCCTGCAAAGATGAAGTGAGGAAAACCAAGGCTCAAAATGAACTAAGGCTTGTGACCAAAGTCAAAAATAACAAAAAAAGCTTCTTTCAACATATAAAAAACAAGAAAAAAGTGAAGGAAATGATTGGTCCATTAGTGGCAAGAAGGTGACAAGCAACAGGGAGAAAGCAGAACTATTTAACTCATTTTTTGCATCTGTCTTTACACAAAGGGAAAAAACAGACCAACCTATCAAAAATAGTGCCATACAAAACAGAATAGAAACACAAGTTAAGATAGGCAAGAAAATGGTAAGTGAGCACCTGTCCAGCCTAGACGAGTTCAAATCGCCAGGACCAGATGGATTACATCCCAAGGTTCTCAAGGAACTGGCAGATGTGATCTCAGAACCATTGAACTATATATTTCAAAGATCCTGGAGCACAGGGGAACTACCAGAGGACTGGAAAAGAGCAGATGTAGTTCCCATCTTCAAAAAAGGGAAAAAATGGATCCAGGAAATTACAGACCTATTAGCCTGACCTCAATACCTGGGAAGATCCTGGAAAAGATAATCAAACAACAAATCAGCAACCATCTAGAGGCAAACAAAGTCATTACTAAAAGCCAACATGGGTTTGTCAAAAATAGATCATGCCAGACAAATCTTATTGCATTCTTTGACCAAGTGACAAAATTAGTGGATAAGAGGAATGCTGTGGACATAATTTACTTGGACTTCAGTAAGGCATCTGATATAGTAGATTGCAACCTACTACTTGACAAGATAGAAAAATGTGGGTAGACAGCATCACCCACCAGATGGATCCGTAGCTGGCTGACCGGCAGTACTCAGCGAGTGGTCCTCAATGGAACCGCATCTACATGGAGGGAAGTTTGTAGTGAGGTGCCCCAGGGCCCTGTTCTGGGCCCAGTGCTCTTCAACATCTTCATCAATGATTTGGACGAAGGGATAAATGGGGAATTCAGACGACACCAAGCTGGCAGGAATAGCCAACACTCCCGAAGACAGGCTTAAGATACAGAAGGATCTGGACAGACTTGAACACTGGGCACTATCTAACAAAATGAAATTCAATGGTGAAAAAAGCAAGGTTTTACATTTAGGCAAGAAAAACCAAATGCACAAGTATAGTATAGGGGGTACCTTGCTCAATAGTAGTAACTGTGAGAGGGACCTCAGAGTCCTAGTGGACAATCACCTATATATGAGCCAGCAGTGTGCTGCAGCTGCCAAAAAAACCAACACAGTGCTACATTAACAGAGGGATAGAATCAAGATCACGTGAAGCGTTAATACCATTTTACAATGCCTTGGTAAGGCTACACTTGGAATACTGCATCCAGTTTTGGTCACCACGCTGTAAAAAAGATGTTGAGACTCTAGAAAGAGTACAGAGAAGAGCAACAAAGATGATTAGGGGACTGGAGGCTAAAGCATATAAGGAACAGTTGTTGGAATTGGGTATGTCTAGTTTAATGAAGAGAAGGACGAGGGGGACATGATAGCAGTGTTCCAATATCTCAGGGGCTGCCACAAAGAAGAGGGAGTCAAGCTATTTTCCAAAGCACCTGAAGGCAGGACAAGAAGCAACGGGTGGAAACTAATCAAGGAGAGAAGCAACCTAGAACTAAGGAGAAACTTCCTGACAGTGAGAACAATTAACCAGTGGAACAACCTGCCTCCAGAAGAGGTGAATGCTCCAACACTTGAAGTTTTTAAGAAGAGACTGGAAGCCATTTGTCCGAAATGGTATAGGGTTTCCTGCCTGAGCATGGGGTTGGACTAGATGACCTCCAAGGTCCCTTCCAACTTTACCTCCAAGGTCCCTTCCAACTTTATTATTATAGAGATCCATGTTGTCCCACAAATTAAATACTCTTTTTAAAAAATAAAAAGCTACTATTACAGAAAAGCCCCTCCTGTCCATAACTGTACATTCTTTGGTAGACCATAGAAAAGGATTGCTTATTTAAAAAAATAGTATCTTTTCTCCCCAAAAAAGGAAGGACAGTGGTCTGCCTAAGTACTGATACAGAGCGAGATTAGCTAAAAGGATGTTATCTGTTTTGTTAGTTAGATTTATATACTGCATTTGTTCCAAGAGCTCAAGATACCCCACATAGCTGTCCTAATTTTTCAATTTTTTCCCCCCACA